GATGGCTAGCCCCATAGAGGCCTGCTGTCTTCAGCCCCAGATTCTTCATCTTCTTGGACTCTTCCTTTCCTTCTTTTTTAGTAATGTTTTTAAAGTTTGATGTTTTATCTATTTATATGTATTTATGGTTTTAATGTTTTGTGTGAGTCGCCCAGTGTCCCCCATTGGGGGAAGATGGGCGGGGGAGAAATTTAATAAAAATAATAAATAAATATTTCTGAAGCAGTTTTTATCCTATCCCTATTGTTTCGATTCATGGGGTTCATTTTTTAGCTGGTTTTCAGCATTCTTCTGAAAAATATTAAGAAGGATTAAACTCTTTCAACAAATAAATTACATTCCCTAATATGAACCTCTCAGGTTGCCCTCTAAATTGTCACTTGTGTGTATCTCCAGAACAATCTTGAAAGTTGAAAGTGTGTGACCCAGTGGGTCATTCTGGGGGGACACCATCTTCAAATGCACACAGACTCAGCATTTGGTTGTAAAAGCAGCTCATGAACAGACAGAGCTTGAACTCTACGGCTCTCAGAAGAAACCTACACTTACCTGGCAAGGCGGCCCAAGTTGGATCCTCCTGAAAAGCAGCTCTTGAGAAGGACTCGATTGATCTCTTCCCTGGAGCTCTGCTGAGATCTCCCCCATGACCGGCTCCTGCACCTGAAAGAACAGTCTGGTTTATGATCCACTTTTGGCGGACCGTAACTGCGTTAGCTCACTTGCCTTACCTTTTGCCTCTCCATCTGTACTTCCCCAACCCAAGTCAAAGTGAGAGAACCTGGGGATTCTGCTCTTTACGTGGCTGTTATTTCTGGTAAATGCCTGCCATTTTTGTGAAACGCTTCATTGCCTCTTTTTATTTCTTTTCATTCTGATCAGGAGTTCCTTCTTTATGTTAGGTGTGGCCTTTCCTTTTTGTGGATGTACTTATCCCTGTTCTATCTCTTCCTCCTGGAGTACTTTCCTTGAGGCTCTTGAGAGGGACAGGACTGATCTCCCTTTTCTTTTGGTTTGGCTTCCCTTTTCCTCTTTTGGTGAACAGTTCAGGGACAGACCTTGGCATTAACAGCAAGATGCTTTTGTGTGGAAGACACACACCCTGAAAATATTTTGACCGCAATTAAATGGCAATTTGAACACTTCATTATTTCTCACCTCTTATTCCCAATCAAGTTTAAGTTTTAGTTATAAATGGTGTAAGGTTATTTTAAATATATATAAACTAAGAACTGAACTAGAGAGAATTTCTGTTCGAATGGAATGTAACCTCTTTGCAGATTTGCCCAGCAAACCACTTTTCCAAGTGATAGTGATGGATATTGAACTTCAAGAGCCCTCTTATGACAAATCTTAAGATTTAATACAGTGGGGCAAAAAAGTATTTAGTCAGCCACCAATTGTGCAAGTTCTCCCACTTAAAAAGATGATCTGTAAGTCTTCACAAGGTTTTCACACACTGTTGTCTGTAAGTCTTCACAAGGTTTTCACACACTGTTGTCTGTAAGTCTTCACAAGGTTTTCACACACTGTTGTCTGTAAGTCTTCACAAGGTTTTCACACACTGTTGTCTGTAAGTCTTCACAAGGTTTTCACACACTGTTGTCTGTAAGTCTTCACAAGGTTTTCACACACTGTTGTCTGTAAGTCTTCACAAGGTTTTCACACACTGTTGTCTGTAAGTCTTCACAAGGTTTTCACACACTGTTGTCTGTAAGTCTTCACAAGGTTTTCACACACTGTTGTCTGTAAGTCTTCACAAGGTTTTCACACACTGTTGTCTGTAAGTCTTCACAAGGTTTTCACACACTGTTGTCTGTAAGTCTTCACAAGGTTTTCACACACTGTTGTCTGTAAGTCTTCACAAGGTTTTCACACACTGTTGACTATGAGAGACAAAATGGGGGAAAAAATCCAGAAAATCACATTGTCTGATTTTTAAAGAATTTATTTGCAAATCATGGTGGAAAATAAGTATTTGGTCACCTACAAACAAGCATCTTTTTAAGTGGGAGAACTTGCACAATTGGTGGCTGACTAAATACTTTTTTGCCCCACTGTATTTGTGGAGTTCCGCAGGAACGGTGCTCTCTCCTATTCAACATGTACATGAGACCGCTGGGTGAGCTCATCCATCGCTATGGGGTGAGGTATCATCAGTATGCTGATGATACCCAGTTGTACATCTCTGCTCCTGGCCATTTAAGCGATGCTGTGGATGTCTTATCCTGACGTCTGGAGGCTATGAGGGTCTGCATGGGGAATAACAGGCTTCAACTGAACCCTGGCAAGACTGGGTGGGTTGGGGTTTTGAGGCCTTCTGGTTCTGGAATCATACCATTGCTGGTACTGGATGGGGTTGCTCTTCCCCAAACGGACCCTGGGTGCAACCTCGGGGATCCTCCTGGACTCACCACTCCTGCTCAGTGAGCAGGTGGCAGATGTGGCTAAGAGGGCCTTTGCACAATTTAGTATTGTGTGCTAGTTGTGCCTGTTCCTGGGCCGAGTGGCCTTACTTATGGTCTCTCATGCCCTGGTCACCTCTTGGTTGGACTACTGTAATGCACTCTACATGGGGCTGTCTTTGAAGAGTATCTGGAAACTTCATCTGGTTCAGAAAGGGTGGTGCGGGCAGTTATGTATGTTTCTGGTAGAACACATGTTATACCTCTGCTTAGCGAGCTGCATTTATAACCAGTCTGTTTCCAGGTCCAATTCGAGGTGCTGGTGTTGATCTTTAAAGCCCTTCATGGCATGGGACTGGGTTGAGGGACTGCCTCTTCCCGATTTCATCTATCCCACTAGATCTAGTAGAGTAGGTATGTTACAGGTTCCATTGTCCAGGGAGCTACATCTAGCGGGCCCCAGGCGGTGGACCCTTTCTGCTGTGGCGCCCGCATTGTGGAACCTTCTCCACCCAGAGATGAGATTGGCCTCATCATGCCTTTTCAAAGGTCTGTCAATATCTGGTTATGTCAGCAGGCCTGGGGACCCCATGGGACAGGTGAACTAGTGAGATGGCTCTATTATTAACATCCCTTTGCCTATTTTTTTTTTTTCTGTTTTAGTTCTGTTTTTATAGTTTTTAAGGTTTTTAATAATTACTATATAATGTTTTATGCAATTATTGTATATATATTTGTTTTATTGGATCGTCCTATGCCGCCCAGAGTCACCTTTTGTGAGATGGGCGGCCATATACATTTAGTAAAATAAATAATAATAAAATGAATATACAATCCATTTCAACCCACGAGAACGTGTGGAGTGCAACAATATCCTAGGGTGGACTAAAACAATGACATGCCACAAACTGGGAGAAGATCAAACTATAATTGGTGGGTAGCAGTAATGAAAATCAGGATGTGAACTCCCATAACCAAGAATTGCCACCCAGAGGCAGACCCTTCCTGTATCTCGTTTGCAGAACATCATTCTGTGGCCTGATTGATAAAAACTGACAGGTCACAACGCAACAAGTTTAGGCAATAAAGTCAGGAACAAAGGGGAGTTAGGACAGCAAACTGTGTACTTGTGCTTAAAATATAAAGATGTATTAATCTGTTGCTTTCTCTCATGATCCTTTCTAGTGGGTACTCTGCTTAGAACCAAGGAGCTACAAGTCTTGTGCTAACTATCTACAGGTAGTCCTCACTTAATGATGGTAATTGGGACCAGAAACTCAGTCACTAAATGACATGGTCATAAACCGCGATGTCACATGACCACACTGCTTAGTGATGGCAGTTCCAGCACTCCCAGTTGCAGTCATTAAGCAAATCACTGTGGGTTCTTAAGTGAGGACAAGACAAAGACATTGCATTCTTTAAATCTCTCTAACGCTGGTGTATATTTTTGGTGTGGAATGTACTCATACCTCCACTCTGCCTGACAGGTTACGGGCCCAGAGTGAGGAGAGATTTATGATTCCAGAGAACAGGGAGATTTATGCTGTGGACTGTATGCCTGGATTTGTTTCCCTGCCTGTGTAACATCTGGTACAACATGCTTTTTTTGAAGTTTGGATTTTCTCTCTATTTTTTGTGTGTGTGCCTGCGAAGTGAAGCATGGCGACCACAATGGCAGTGAGCCTGCCTTTTGAGAGATTAAATCCTACTGACTTCTTGCTGGCTTCCCCATTGACATTGCTGGATGGAAGCTAACTGGGAAGGTCACAAATAACATGACTGCAGGATGCTGCTACGTAACTGTGACCTGGTCGCTAAGCGTTCAAATCGTGGTCATGTGACAGTGGGGACGCTGTGATGGCCACAACTAAAAGGAGCAGTTATAAGTCCTGCTTGTTCAGTGCTGTTATAACTTAACTGGTCTGTCTGGTTAAGCAAGGACTAGCTGTAATTATCAGACAATCTCTCTGCTTATATTAGTTGGGAAAGTCATGTAGGCTTGGGATCTGCACCTCCAATTTGTTGTGCTGAAACCAAGAAAAGTACTCAAGAGACACTTATATTCAAGCTGTGATTTGATAATGCGTTATATTGCATACTGTTGCTTTCTGTGGTGACTGTGCTCACTAGAGCCCAAAAAGTTGAAGA